CTACCATCAATAAATCAACAAACAAGTGCTGGCAAGGATTTGAAGAAAAGGGAACCCTAGTGGACTGTGGGTGGGAATGCAGACTGCTGCAGCCACTGTGGAAAACAGAATAGAGTTTCCTCAAAAAATTAAAAATGGAACTGCATTTTGACCCAGTGATCCCACTTCTGATAATATACCCTAAGAATCCTAAAACACCAGTCATAAAGAAGATATGCACCCCTATTTTCATAGCAGTGTTATTTACAATAGCCAAGATCTGGAAACAGCCTTAATGTCCATCAGTAGACAAATGGATAAAAAAGCTGTGGTACATATACACAATGGAGTACTATGCAGCTGTAAGAAAGAAAGATCTCTTATCCTTTGAGACGACATGGAGGGACCTGGAGAGTATTATCCTAAGTGAAACAAGCCAAGCAGAGAAAGACAAATGTCACATGAACTCACTTATATGTGGTATCTAATGAACAAAATAAACTGACAAAGTAGAAACTGAGGCATGGATGCATGAAACAGACTACAGCTGTCAGACGGGAGGAGGAAAGGGTAATGATTGAAGAAAAGTGAAGGAATTAGCCAAAGAACAGTATACATAACCCACAGACACTGACAACAGTGTGGTGTTGGCCAGTAGGAAGGGGGGAGTGGCGAGGACTGGGTAATGGTGGGCAAAGTGGGGTGGGGAAATGGGACATCTGTAATAATATAAACAACAAAAAGAAAGTTAAAAGAAATAATTCCAACTTCCGGTCAGGATGGTGGGTAGGTAAACGCGGTATCGCGTCCTCCCACAACCACATCAAAGTTACAACTAAACTACAGAACAACCATCATTCAAAACCGTCTGACACCGAGCTGAATGGAAGTCCTACAACTACGGAATTAAAGCAGCAGCCACATCCAGACTGGTAGGAGGGGCGGAGGCTGACGGGCTGGTCCCACACCCACGTGTGGCGGATAAAAATCAGGGGGACACCTCAGCTGGGAAGGTCCTTCCTGAGGACTGAAGGGTCCCCGTCCCACACCAGGTGCCCCGCTCAGGGTTCCAGTGCCAGGAAGAGAATCCCCATCACTTCTGGCTGGAAAAACCAGCGGGAACTGAGGCTCAGGGAGGCTGAGGCGGCTGGAGCCCCAGGCAGCTCCTTAAAGGGCCCGCGCACGGACTTATCGGACTCTCTCCCTCTAAGCTCGGAGGGGAGGCAGCTCGAGGGGCACCAGAGACATACAGGGAAGAACTGAGCTGTTTGGCACTGGAACGAGGGCTGGAGAGGGGGCTTTCTCCGGGACAAACGTGCTGTCAGAGGCCTTTGTTCCTTTGGTGAGCCCTTCCCTGGGGCGGCAGACAGCTGCCATATCTGGGACTCCAGCAACCTGGCTCACACTGGTAGCCCCGCCCTGGTGACTCCCTGAGGCCCCGCCCCACCCAACTTTCAGGCCACCCAAGCTGTTGCCACTTGCTTAACCATAGGATTGGCCTGTCTTGGATCCTGCTTCAGGTTTTCCTAAATTCTTTCAAACACACAGCATCTGGTCTGAGCTAGCCCCATACCGCTCGTTAAGTAATACACAGAAACAAACACAGGGAGACAGCCAAAATGAGGAGACAAAGAAACAGGTCTCAAATGAAAGAACAGAACAAAACCCCAAGAAAAGAACTATGCAAAAAGAAGATAAGCAACCTAACAGATGCTGAGTTCAAAATACTGCTTATAAGGATGCTCAGTGAACTTAGTGAGGGCCTCAAGAGCATAAAAAAAGACCAGTCAGAAATGATGGATGCACAGTCAGAAATGAAGGAGGCATTAACTGATATAAAGAATAATTTACACAGATTCAATAGTAGAGTACGTAAATCCAAGAAGAAAACCATTGATTTGGAATATAAGGAAGCAAAAAATGCCCAATCAGAACAGCAAAAAGAAAAAAGAATACAAAAAAATGAGGATAGTATAAGGAGCCTCTGGGACAACTTCAAGTGTGCCAACATTAGCATCTTGGGGGTGCCAGAAGGAGAAGAGAGAGAACAAGAAATTGAAAACCTGTTTGAAACAATAATGGCAGAAAACTTTCGTAACTTGGTGAAGGAAACAGACATACAAGTCCAGGAAGCACAGAGAGTCCCAAACAAGATGAACCCCAAGAGGCCCACACCAAGACACATCATCATCAAAATGCAAAGGTTCAAGACAAAGAGAGAATCTTAAAAGCAGCAAGAGAAAAGCAGTTAGTTACCTACAAGGGCGTTCCCATAATCCCATAAGGCTGTCAGCTGATTTCTCAAAAGAAACTTTGCAGGCCAGAAGGGAGTGGCAAGAAATATTCAGAGTGATGAAAAGCAAGAACCTACAACCAAGATTATTCTATCCTGCAAAGCTGTCATTTAGAATCGATGGGCATATAAAGATTTTCCCAGACAAGAAAAAGTTAAAAGAGTTCACCACCACCAAACCGTTATTATATGAAATGATGAAGGGTCTTTTTGAAGAAAAAGATAAAATATATGAACAAACAAAATGGCAATGAATACATATCTATCGACAATGGAATCTACAAACAAAATGAACAAGCAGAACAGAAACATTCTCATAGATACAGAGAACATTTTGTTGGTTGCCAGATGGGAGGGGGGTTGCGGGAATGGGTGAAAAAGGTGAAGGGATTAAGAAGTACAAATTCATTGCTAGACTGACAAACCTCAAAGGGAAAGGGGTTGGGGGGTGGGAAGAAATCAACCAAAGAACTTATATGCGTAACCAATGGACACCGACAATAGTGTGGAAAAGGCGGGAGGGGGGCAGGAGTGAGGAGGAGGGGGTCAATGGGGGAAAAATGAGGAACATCTGTAATATATTCAACAATAAAGATTTAAAAAAAAAAAAAGAAAGAAAGAATTCCATTCACAATAGCATCATAAAATGTTGGGAATAAATTTAGCCAAAGAAGTACACTGATACTACAAACCATTTGTGAAAGAAATTAAAGAAAACCCAGATTAATGGAAAGGCATTCCATATTTATGGTTCTGAAAAATAAGTATTATTAAAATGGCAATACTCCACAAATTCATCCACAGACATAAGGCAATCCCTATCAAAATCCCAGCAGGGTTTTCCACAGAGATTAACAAGGTGATCCTAATAATTGTATAAAAATGCAAATAGCCAAACTATTTTTTTTTTTTTTTTTTTTTTTTTATTTTATCCTCACCCGAGGACATTTTTCCATTTTTTGTTCAGGTAGAGTAGGAGGTGGAGAGAGGAACAGAGAGAGAGAGAGAAACATCAACGTGAAGGGACACATCGAGTGGCTGCCACCCGCACGACCAACCAGGGCCGGGGACAAACTGCAACCGAGGTATATGCCCTCAGCAGGAACCGAACCCGGGTCTCTCCGGACTGCAGGCCGACGCTCTAACCGCTGAGCCAAACCGGCCAGGGCCCAAACTTTTAAAAAATTAAAAGCCCTGGCCGGTTTGGCTCAGCAGTTAAAGCATTGGCCTGTGGACCAGGGAGTCCTGGGTTCGATTCCTGCCAAGGGCACGCGTACCTCAGTTGCAGTTCGTCCCCAGCCCCAGTTGAGGTCATGCAGGTGGCAACCAACTGATGTGTCTCTCTCACATCAATGTTTCTCTCTCTCTCTCTCTCCCTCCCTCCCTCCCTCTCTCTCTTTCCCACTCTGTCTGAAGATAAATGTAAAAAAATATCTTCGGGTAAAGATTAAGAAAAAAAATTAAAGGACTCATGCTTTCCAATATCAAAACTTACTAACAAAGCTACAGTGATCCAGACAGTGTGGTACTGGCACAGAACAGACATCAAGATTAATGAAATAGAATGAGAGTCCAAAAATAAACACCTACTCCTATGATCAACTGATTTTCGACAAGAGTATAAAAATAATTCAATGGGGAAAGCATACTCTTTTCAACAAATATTGCTGGAACAGTTAAAGGCTCACATGGAAAAGAATGAAGCTGGGACTCCTTTCTGACAACATTCACAGCAATTAACCAAAAATGAAGCACAAATATAAATGTAAGAGCTAAAAGTATAAAACCTAGAACAAAACAAAAAAGAATTGTGAGTGACTGCTAATAGGTACAGGGTTTCTACTAGGGTAATAAAATGCTCTCAAAGTAAATTGTATTGACGACTGCATATCTCTGAATACGCAGGAAATCTCTGAATTGCACTTTTTTAAAAGAGTGATTTTTTTTTTTAATCCTCACATTTTTGCATTTATCTTCAGATGGAGCGGGAGGAAGAGAGGGACAAAGAGAGAGAAACAGCGATGTGAGACAGACACATCGAGTGGTTGCCACCCACACAATCCCAACTGGGGCTGGGGACAAACTGCAACCGAGGTACATGACCTTAGCGGCAACTGAACCCAGGACTCTCTGGTCCGCAGGCCGACGCTCTAACCGCTGAGCCAAACCGGCCAAGGCTAAAAGAGTGATTTTTACAGTATGTGATGTATATCTAAATACAACTGTTTTTTTTTTCATAACCAATTTGGAAGTTTTCTTTTGTAGAACATGGTTTCTCTTTATTAATACTTTATTCTGCTTTGCTGGGATTCCTTACCTGTAGCTGAAACTCTTAGGCTTACTTACTCTACTGAGAGGCAGAAAGACAGTGAGTGTAAAAATAATATATGCATAAGTAATACCAAATCTATGCCTATAAAAAAATGGGCTCTTCAAAATATTTCATATCTACAGAAATACCTCTAATACAAGGGATCCACTGTCTGTCTAACTTCGTTCTCAGACCCTCTCCTCCTCACTCACTCCCTCTTGCTCCCCTCCCTCCCCTTCCCATTTTCCTCCCCATCTCCCTCCCCATCTCTCTCCTCCCCTCCCCTTCTCCCTCTCTTCTCTTTCCTGCTCCCTCTGCTCCCTGTTCCTCTCTTCCCTCACCCTCTCCTCATCTCTCTCTGCCTCCCACCCCCTTTAGAGCACTAGACCCTGAGCCAGTGCGGGAGGACTGTCTTACTTGGTACATTGTACTTCTGGAGACAGTAGAGGAGTTCCAGGGGCTGCACTGCTTTCTGTCGACTGTCCTGCATCTTCTCCAGCAGCAAGAGCAGCTGGAACGGGACACTCCTCCTCTGCTCGTCCACTTCCCTTGGCACTGTCATCCTGCCAGATAAGAAGAGCGATGGACCTCCCATTCCCACAGTTCTCAATGCTAGCTGCATCCTGGAATCACTAGAAAAAACTTTCAAAAATCTCCATGTCCAGGCCACTCTGTAAACTAAGTTAGAATTTCTAGGGGTAGGACCCAGTTATCAAAATGTTTCAGTTTCCAAGATGATTTAAATGTATAGACAAGGTTGAGAAACACCATGTTAGCAAATCAGCTGTAGTGAACAGCCTCTTAAGAGGGGATCAGGCCCTGGCCGGTTTGGCTCAGCGGTTAGAGCGTCGGCCTGCGGTCCCGAGAGACCCAGGTTCGGTTTCCGTTAAGGGCACATGCCTCAGTTGCAGTTTGTCCCCGGCCCTGGTTGGGTCATGCAGGTGGCAACCACTCCATGTGTCCCTTTCACGTCGATGTTTCTCTCTCTCCCTCCCACTCTATCTGAACAAAATATGGAAAAAATGTCCTCTGGTGAGGATTAAAAAAAAAGAGAGGATCAACACAACTGCTGCCTCACCCCTCTCCCCACCCCGCCTGGCAATGACACTAAAATAAAAGGCAGACGCAGCAGGTCCTGCCCGGGTACACAGCACAGTGCCCAGGCAGCAGGATATGCACCTGGATGCACTTCAAAGTGAAAGGCAGATACTCACCTCGGTCCTGGAAAGAAAGGGCAACGTGAAGTTATGTCAGTGTATTTTAGAAATAATTTAAAAATTGTCCATGCCAATGAATGAAAAAAATAAAAAAAAAGGAAGCACAGGGCAGAAAAGAATGTGTCATACTATATGTGCGTGTGATAATATATATATATTCTGTGTGTGTGTGTGTGTGTGTGTGTGTGTTTACTTTGAAAAAAATCAACAGAGAGACTCTTGCATGTACCCACTGATTTATTTCTCCTTTGACACTGGTCTAATCCCAATTTCCTTTTAATCAAGTCAGCAGCTGACAATCCTGCCTGCAATTTCAGATCACCTAGGGCATCTTATAGAAAGTACCATTGGCTGTGTCCCACCATAGACCAAATGAAACTAAATACCTGGGGTAAGACCAGCATTTGCATATTCTTTATACTGTACTTTTTAGGTGATTAGAAAGTGTAGTCCAGAATGTGCAGAACAAGACTTTTCTCTGGTAACTTTTTTTTTTTTTTAATTTATTGTTGTTACAAATGTTTCTCTTTTTTTCCTCATTGACACCCTCCTCCCCATCCCAACCCATCCCATCCCATCCCCAGCTTTGCTGTCCATATCCATCGGTTATGCGTACATGCATATGAGTTCTGTGGTTTATCTCTTCCCTCCCCCGACCACTCCTCTTCTGAGGGTTCGTAATCTGTACCCTATTTCCACATCTCTGGGTCTGCCCTGTTCCTCAGACTGTTATGTTCATTATATTTGACAAATAAGTGAGATCATGTGGTATTTCTCTCTCTGCTTGGCTTGTTTCACTTAGGATAATACTCTCCAGGTCCCTCCATGTCGTCTCAAAGGATAAGAGATCATTCTTTCTTACAGCTGCATAGTACTCATTGTGTAAATGTACCACAGTGTTTTGATCCATTCATCTACTGATGGACACTTGGGCTGTATCCAGATCTTAGCTATTGTAAATAGTGCTGCTATGAACACGGGGGTACATTTATTCTTTCTGATTGGTGTTTCAGGCTTCTTAGGGTATATTCCTAGAACTGGGATCACTGGGTCAAATGGTAATTCAATTTTTAATTTTTTGACGTAACACCATAGTGTTTTCTATAGCGGCTGCACCAGTCTGCATTCCCACCAGCAGTGTACTAGAGTCCCCTTTTCTCCACACCCTCGCCAACACTTGTTGTTTGATGATTTGTTGATAGCAGCCATTCTTTTTTTTTTTTTATCCTCACCCGAGGACATCTTTCCATTTTTTATTCAGATAGAGCGGGAAGGAGAGAGAGGAAGAGAGAGAAACATCAATGTGAAAGGGACACATTGAGTGGCCGCCACTCACACAACCCAACCAGGGCCGGGGACAAACTGCACCCAAGGTACATGCCCTTAGCGGAAACTCAACCCGGGTCTCTGTGGACCGCAGGCTGATGCTCTAACCGCTGAGCAAAACTGGCCAGGGCGATAGCGGCCATTCTGACAGGTGTGAGGTGATACCTCATTGTTGTTTTAATTTGCATCTCTCAGATGATAAGTGATGTTGAGCATTTCTTCATATGTTTCTTAGTCATTTGAATGTCCTGTGTGAAGAGGTGTCTATTTAGTTCCTCTGCCCATTTTTTAATTGGGTTCTTTATCTTCCTTTTGTTGAGTGGTATGAGCACTCTATATATTTTGGAAATTAACTCCTTATCTGATGTATCATTGGCAATTATGCTCTCCTATACAGTGGGTTCCCTCTCCATATTGATGGTTGTTTCCTTTGCTATGCAGAAGCTTTTAAGTTTGATGTAGTCCCATGTGCTCATTTTTACCTTTGTTTCTGTTGCCTTAGGTGATGTATCAGTGAAAATTCTCCTGCATATGATATCCGAAATTTTGTTGCATACCCTTTCTTCTAGAATTTTTATGGATTCATGAATCACATTTAAGCCTTTTATCTATTTTTAGTTTATTCTTGTGTATGGTGTAAGTTGGTGGTTTAGCTTCATTTTCTTGCATGTAGCTGTCCAATTTTCCCAACACCATCTATTAAAGAGGCTGTCTATACTCCATTGTATGCTCTTGCCTCCTTTGTCAAATATTAATTGAGCATAATGTCTTGGGTCCATTTCTGAGTTCTCTATTCTGTTTCACTGGTCTATGTGCCTGTTCTTGTAACAGTACCAGGCTGTTTTGATTACAGTAGCTTTGTAGTATAACCTGATATCTGGTAATGTGATCCCATCTACTGTGTCCTTCCTTTTCAAGATTGTTTTGGCTATTCGGGATCTTTTTGGTTCCATATGAACTTTTGAAGTATTTGTTCTAGTTCTGTAAAATATGTTCTTGGTATTTTGGTGGGGATTGCACTGAATCTACGATTGCTTTGGATAATATGGACATTTTAATTATGTTAATTTTTTCAAACCATGAACAAGGTTTGTGCTTCCTCTATTTCTTTTTTCAATGTCCTGTAGTTTTCTACAAACAGGTCCTTTACGTCATTGGTTAAGTTTATTCCTAGGCATCTTAATTTTCTTGCCGCAATGGTAAATGGGATTGTTTTTCAGTTTCTCTTTCTGTGAGTTCATTATTGGTGCATAAGAATGCCACCGATCTCTTGACATTAATTTTGTATCCTGCTACTTTGCCAAATTCATTTATTAAGTCTAGTAGATTTTTGACGGAGTCTTTAGCATTTTCTATGTATAATATGATGTCATCTGTGAATAATGACAGTTTCACTTCCTTCTTTCCAATTTGGATCCCTTTTATTTTTCTTCAGGTCTGAATGCTATGGCTAAGACTTCCAGTACTATGTTAAATAAGAGTGGCAAAAGTGGGCATCCCTGTCATGTTCCTGTTCTTAAGGGACATGCTTTTAGTTTTTGCCCATTGAGTATGATGTTGGCTGTAGGTCTTTCATACATGGCCTTTATTATGTTGAGATATGATCCCTCTATTCCCACATTGCTGAGCGTTTTTATCAGAAATAGGGGCTGGATTTGTCGAATGCTTTTTCAGCATCTACTGATATGATCATGTGGTTTTAATCTTTCATTTTGTTTATGTGACCTATCACATTTATTGATTTTCAAATACTGTGCAAGCCTTGCATCCCGTGGATGAATCCCACTTGGTCATGGTGAATAATTTTTTTGATGTATTGCTGGATCCGATTTACTAATAATTTGTTAAGGATTTTGGCATCTATGTTCATCAGGGATATTGGCCTGTAGTTTTCTTTCTTTGTAGTGTCTTTTTCTGGTTTTGAAATTAGAATTATGCTGGCCTCATAAAACAAGTTTGGAAGTCTTCCTTCTTGAATTTTTTTTTTTTATCCTCACTCAAGAATATTTATTCATTTTTTATTCAGATAGAGTGGGAGGGTGAGAGAGGGACAGAGAGAGAGAGAAACATCGATGTGAGAGAGACACACTGAGTGGTTGCCACCCACAGGACCCCAAACAGGGCCAGAGACAAACTGCAAACGAGGTACATGCCCTTAGCAAGAACCAAATCCAGGTCTCTCGGGACCACAGGGCAACGCTCTAACCGCTGAGCCAAACCAACCAGAGCCTTCTTAAATTTTTTGAAATAGTATTTGTTAACAATCCTTTGTATTTTTGTAGTGTCAGTTGTTACTTCTCCTCTTTTATTTCTGATGTTGTGTATTTGGGTTCTCTGTTTCTTGGTGAGTCTAGCTAAGGGTCCATCAATCTTGTTTATCTTTTTGAAAAACCAGCTCTTTGTTTCACTGATCTTTGAATTGTTGTTTTGGTCTCTATGTCATTTATTTCTGCTCTGATCTTTACTATTTCCTTCCTTCTACTTGCTCTGCGGTTTTCTTTTTGATTGCTTTCCAGTTCTTTACGTTGTGAGGTTTGATAGTCTATTAGAAATTTTTCTTGCTTGTTGAGGTAGGCCTGTAGTGCTATAAATGTCCCTCTCTGAACTGCTTTCGCTGCATCCCATGGATTTTGTGTTGTTGTATGTTCATTTTCATTGGTTTCCAGGAAGTTTTTTAATTTTTTCCTTGATCTCCTTGGTAACCCATTCATTGTTTAATATCAAGCTACTTAGCCTTCATGTGTTCCAATGTCTTTGCATGTTCTTGTTGCAACTGATTTCTAGTTTCATGCCATTGTGATCTGAGAAAATTCTTGATATAATTTCAATCTTCTTGAACTTGTAGAGATTTAATTTGTGTTATAATATGTTCTCTAGCTTTGAAAATATCCCATGTGCACTTGAGAAGAATGTGAATTCTGTAGTTTTGGGGTATAATTCTCTGTAGATATGTAATAAATCCATTTGGTCCACTGCTTCATTTAGAGTCTCTGTTTCCTTGCTAATTTTTTGTCTAGAGG